AGTTGTGTGGGGATGGTGGTCCAGGTCGGGTTGCTTCCTCTTGCATGGCCTCCCTGGGCTGCCCTCTGTCATGGCTGGCCCCGGCGCTCCTGGGCATCAGGTGGATGCTGGGCATGGGGCAGGCGGTCGACTGCTTCTCTCCCCGTAGCATTTTGTGCCATATACTGGATTGGAGAGAGATATCAAAATCAGCATGATAAACCTGAGGGGCTGTATGAGAAGCTATGTAAAGAGTAACTTGTTCCATCTTGGCCACCTGCACCTCTCCCACCTTCACCAGCCATGGGTAGAGGTTCTGGACACTGCTCGGGTGTCTGTCCCAGCCATGGGACTGATGCTCAGGCATAGGCAGGGCTCTGACCTTCCTGCCCCGGCTAAGGGTACCTGGGGTTGCAGCTGCCTGGGGGGCACCATGGAGCTGGCAGTGGGCTGGGAGCATGGTGGTGGCATCTCTCGTGTGCTTCTTCCCTTGTAGGAACAGTTGTTTCCCCCTCTGTGCAAGAACATCCTATGGGAAGAAAAACAACTCCTTCTGCTTTGATGATTTCCCATGGATCTGCAAGAAGCCTCCAAATCTGAGCAGCTCATCCAAGACCCTCTTTCCTCTCCTGGCCAAGAGGTGAAGACTGAGACCCCTTTTCTGTCACAGGACTGAGGGACAGGAGCTGGGGCTGCACAGCAAAGACACACGTTCTCTCCTGCACAGCCACATTCCTGCGCATTGTTGCCTCAACCACATTGCAAAGCTCTGTGGATATAAGTTGGGAAAGAAGGTGTCTGCATTTTAAAACAAGACATATGGAAAAGAGACTGTATTTCTGTGTTCCACATTCATGCCCATGCTTACATCCCCAGCCCCTGCCCTCCAGCCCTGGTTCCCCTGACTTGGGGAGGGGATGCTGGTATCGAGCCCTGCTCACCTCTGCTGCCTTCTGCTGAGGCTGGTTTGGGAGGTGTCTCTGGCACTTTGTGAGGCTGGGTATGATGGTGTCATTGGTGTCCCCAAACTGTCCCCCTCAGGGACTCCTTTGGTTTTACTGGCTGCCCCTCACCTCTGTCACTGGCTGCTGCTCTGTTCCTGTCCTGCCATTTCTCCTCCCTCCATCACCTGTCCTCGGCCACAGCCCATCCCAGAGCTGAGCTTTGTTCTCTCAGTTGGAGAACAGCCTTGCTCCCAGGAAGAAGATGGAGCATGTCCTCGTGGGCATGTGATGGTCCATGCCCAGGGAGGACATGCTGATGGATGGGGAAAGCCGGGTGTGATTTGTGATGCCTGTCCAACCTGCCTCCTTCTGTGGGAACACTGGGCTGTGGATGAGGGGAGAGCAATGGGGGCCATTTTGCATGAACCGTTGAGGTCTGGGACATGGTTTCCCATGGACTCCTCGCTGGTAGAGTGGGAGATGTGGCCAGGAGAAGAGGAGAAGAAGGTAGGTGGAACCCTGGATGGCAGGAGGGGTGCAGGGGGTTGTCAGCAATGCCCTCGTCCAGCTGGTGACATCCCTACAGGGTCGATCCTGGGGCTGATGCTCCTTGAAGCCTTCACCAGTTCCCTGGATGATGGAATGGGGATGGCCTCAGCCAGTTGGGGGACAATACCAAAGGGCAGTAATATGTGTACTGGAGGGCTGGATTGATGTTCAGAAGGGCCTGGAGAAACTGGGTGATGGGAGACTGCTGATGTTGGATGGGGGAAAAGGTCCAGTCCTGCAGCTGGGAAGGAAGGAGAAACCCCATGCATCAAATTGGGCAAACGAGCAGCCAAACAGCTCAGCAGACTGCTGAAGGGGACCCATGAACCAGAGGCTGGGTGGGAGTCAGCAGTGTGTCCTTACGGTGGCAGGGCCCAGTGACACTGTGGGCAGTGGTGGCTGGAGCTCAGGGCTCCAGGAGCACGAGTCTGCTCCTCCGCGGGCACCAGGGAGACCACGTCTGGGCTTCCCAGGGCAAGACAGACACGGCAAGTCCTTGTTTTGCACGATAGCTGAGATTGCAGGGGACCTCCTGCAATCCTCTCCCAGCCTCCCAGCCTCGTCCTGCTTTGGGCTGGCTCCACCGACCTCCTTCCACATCTCCTCTCCCAGGAGCTGCCCACACCCAGCTTAGCAAAGTGGTCCCCACCTCATCCCCCCCTCAACACTGAGTGACTCAGGAAGGGTCAGCGTTGCCCTTGGACTCGCCCACTCACCGCAGCTGGGTCAGGGACAGGGCTCCCTCATCACCCCCCTGGCTGCTCAGATCCCACCATGGTCTTAGGGATCTTACCCCCATGATGGTAGGGGTCTCCTCTTTCCCCTGTGTTCCCAAGCCTCACCCCTCTCTCCTGCTCTCTTAAGACTCCTCTCTGCACCCTCATTTCCTCCCATGGCCTCAAGGCTCCCTTATTTGCCTTCCATGATCTCAGTGATCTTCATTGCACCCCTTTTCCCCCCATGGTCTCAGGGTTCCCTCATTCACCTCCCACCGTCTCAGAGCTCCCCAGCACTCCCCCATCTCCCATAAGGTCCCAGGATTTCCCAGCACTTTCTCATGCTGATGGCACTGCTACCTGCACCCTCCCTGGTCAAGCCCAGCCCAAAGCCCTCGGCAGGTGATGGAGGCAGGAGAAAGGGCAGGATGGGAGCTGTTGATGCTAAGGGAAGGGATAGGCAGTAAGTCCACAGGACTCCCCGAGGATGACAAGATGAGAAGACCAATGGTGCTGTCATCCCCCAGCTCCAAAAAGATGCAAATGGCACATCCTGCATCAGCACACGGCCGGTAGCCTTGGGGGAGCACAGCAGGCAGGAGCTGGGCTCCGCACTGAAGTCCCGGGTCACTGTGAGCTGGCTGGAGCACAGAGGGACACGCAGAGGGCTGGTGCAAGGTGGTATAAGTGTATGCATGAGTGTGAGAGTGGGGAATAAGGTCTGTTTTCCATGAGCCTTGCTTTAAAATACAGACACCCTTTCCCAGCGCTTTGCAATGCAATTGAGGCAACGTGTGCCCAGGGGAGAGGGTCTTGGGGTGCACCCTCAGCTCAGTTTCGGAGGCTGCTCGCAGATCCACTGGTTCTTTTTCCAGCATTTTGTACTCTCTATTTTACTGTTAGTTGATAGCCCGCAGTCTGCACGATAGCTGCTCCTAGGAGAGAGGACATGTCTCAGAGGGGCAGTGACAGCATCCTCACTGTGGACACTTCTTCCCACAGGTCTCAGCGCCGCTGGGGCAGGCAGGGCGCTTGGCACTGGGACCAGTCTGAGGAAGGGCCACTTTCCTTCCCCTGGCCTCCTGCTCTGTCACTTGGTGATTCAGCCGGGCACACTGCAGCTGGGCTGTGCCCAGGGACCCCTCCCCCTGGGCACTGCTCGTTGCAGCATCACCCCCTTTGCTGGGGGAGTCTCACAAGGGTGAAACAGCATCCCCCCAGTATGGCTAAAGGGCAGGTGCTTGTGCCAAGGACTGCTGCACTTACAAGAACTGTTTGCTGTCCTGCCATACAACAGTGTTCTTCACATCAAAAGAAAATTGTGCTCCAACCCAGTACGTGGCATCATGCTCCTGAATAAAATGCTGAGGGGAGAGAAACTGTTGACCACCTGCCCCATGCCCAGCGCCCACCTGGTGCCTGGGAGCCCCAGAGCTCACCGTACTGCTCCCCACAGTCGGCTGGGACGGGCACCCAGGGCTCATGCTACCACCCCAGCACCTCCGCAGGTGCTGCTGCTGTTGGCCCCAAGGG